TGAGATGAAATCACAAAAATGATCTCCACCAGCGTATAGTTGGGCCTAGCCCAGTTAAATAGTGTACCTCTTTAAACTCATATATTATCAACCAAAACTTCTATTTGATATCGATATCTACAATATCTATAGCTACCATGTAACTAATATTAGGAAGTCTTAGAGAATAAGTTTTTATGTTTAATTGATACTTTTCGCATAAAACCGAGAAACTCCTGGACAGGAAGTTACACTCTGATTGTATGGGACAGCATTTTTGCAAAGATTGTTGTAGCCAATTTGAGTCATTTTTTTGCATATTAGCTTTATTAGATTGCGATTAGCACTTATTGGCTACGTTTCAACTTGAAAACAATTTCTCGATTATCTATAAACAAGTACAACCTGTATATCGTAACGCTATCAACTCAGACAAAAATGAAGAGAAAAAATAGAATCTAAATCAGAATAGCTGAATTTCCGATAAGTATTCCAGGCAAGTATACCACATACCCTTGGTTTTCATTTTTGCAAGTTATTTCACAAAAGCTAAATTCTACATACTTCATCGAAAGTAAAAGCAAATACGTTTGTTGTGCCAACTTTTATATTTTCCAACTAGGTTAGGTTTTGAAATCACTGCTATACGTCAAAGTTATTGGCACAGAAGAACACCTGATAATCTCAGAGTGTACGGTGCGTGAATCGTGGCTCTTAACTCTGATCAGCACTTTAACGCCTTTTAATATATATATATATATTCCAATTTAAATGGTTTTCAGTGCGATGGTCGAGATGCTTTCCTGATCAAAACAACGTCAATTTGTGGAATAAGCTGCCTGAAACATACAAGTAAAAATCTAGGAGCTCATTGTTTTCTGCTATGACGACATCTAGGTCCTTGTCGCGTCGGCCATTGATTGGACGGGCGACGCGTGGGTCACAATTTAATTTTAGGGCGTTCCACGACTTGGCACTGACTTCTGACTCTGCGACCATACGTAACTCAGCCAACTTTTGTCTCGAGTTAAGTTGTTTTACTGTTTTATTATCTTTTTTTATATTGTTTCACCTTCGCAGTTTTAAATACAATACGCAACAAAGGTTTTACACGTTTCATTAGAGACTAGAAGTGGACGGTAACAAGGAAGCCAGTCTCGACACGCAGAAGTCCTAGAGAAACTTACCACGTACTTTTCACTTCCTTCATCTCAATTTGTTGTATAAGTCATAATGCTCCAACTCATGATTCATGACTGTTTTTTTCCCACTCATATACAATGCACAGTACTACTGTGAAGTAAATAACGGAGCATGTATTGACTCATGGAATAATACATAAATCATATTAGGCAAATTTATAGTTATTATAACTCGGCTCCAACCGCCATCATCTTAGAAAAGGTTCAATTGTGTGGGCTACTGTTTTGTCAGTAAATAAATATGTGCAAATTAGTTAGGTAGGTTTTCCTATATGCAAAATAACTTCCGTGATAAAACAGTGGCTTGGAAAATATTGCAAATCACATGCGTCATAACTTTTACAAACTGCAGTATACAAAAATATAAGAATGAATATTGTTTCATAAGGTATATAACAGAATTGCCGTAAGCCCTATAATGTAAAACATCAAATGTATTAGAGCTGAGGAAAATGCAAATTTCTCGAATATTGTGGAGGAAAACACTCAAATGCGTATTCTTTGAGGTTAAATTTCCCAACTTCACGTAAACATGCCTTGATTATCTGGACGAATAATCGGGGCGACATTATCGTGTTTCTCTCCGATATTTATTACCATTTCTAGACAGAAACAGCGTAACTTATAAGGAATACATTTTCTAAAAATTTATGACATATTGATGACCATTATCTCAAACTTGCGTGACTTTTTTTGTTTAATTCATAAACAAAGAACGCTTTGTTGAAAACGGTCTAGCAACAGTAAGCATTTTTACATATATTTTGCCAACACTCATCCAAAATATATTGGTGAGAGCTTCCATTCAACAATACCACTTTACATCCTCTGACACAAGTGGATTAATTTTTGTGAACATTATTATATTAAAGGAGATTGTCAGCTGAGATTTAGTTTCAGAAGTCCTTATTAATAATCATCACCTATTAGTCATTTTAATTGATCTTACAAATAATCTATATAGTATATCGTTTATATTTAGTGTTATAAGGCAGGGATGTGCAACCTTTATTACAGGAGGGGCATATACAAATAACTGCGGGTGATTTCGTTATTGATCTTACGGCATTGTTAGGGGTCCTTGCAGAAATGCTGAGTTAAAACGCATAAATTTCTGAAGAAAACTGCTATTCAAATTTATTGTCATACCGACTTCAAACGAATTCCGTTTTTATAACATTCTGTATTTTGCAACATGATTTTGCTAGCTAGTTCTACTGATATGACAGTGGCACTCAGGTACTGGTATAGGCTTTGCGACGCAAAGAGATTGGAATTGCTCGTACGTATCAAATTAACTAAACTAAAAACTCGTTTCGCGGGCACACCATTTAAACTTGGCACTTCTCCGCGGGAAGCACAATTTTTCGCAGTTTGCACACACAATCAGCTGAATTGTGAAACTATTTCATAATTTCAGAATAGCATTTTAGAAAATGTGTGAAGAAACAAGGATTTTCTCTACAAAGGTAGAGAACAATACAAACGAAGGGGGTGAAAGTAGAATGATTTCAGTTTTTAGATGAATTGAAGATCTGGGAAGTCAATTATTGACGACACTTAGCATAGGGTTGTATAGTTTAGTTAGTAGCCTACAGTCGACTCAGAATATGTAATAAACTCGTTCATATTACGATGTTTTGGAAGATAGTGATATTATAGTGGGCAATTTTTGTTTTATGATTTGGTGATACAAGCCTGTGTTATTTTATCAGTATCTGGCTATTCGTTTACATTCAGCCGATTCTGGGCAATTTTTGTTTTATGATTTGTTTATACAAGCCTGTGTTATTTTATCAGTGTCTGGCTATTCGTTTACATTCAGCCGATTCTGGGCAAATTTTGTTTTATGATTTGTTTATACAAGCTGTGTTATTTTATCAGTATCTGGCTATTCGTTTACATTCAGCCGACTCTGCCACGCGGTGACTGATTTTTCTGAACCTATCAGAGGAAATAGCGAGTATTAATTTCAAGGTTGCTGTGTTAGAAGGTGACGGAATGATTTTGATATGTTTGTTTCATACCAAAAACTCAATAGCACGTAAATACCGATACATTATGATCAGTGTTCCCTCTAAAGTGTGCGCGCGCACACAGCTTTCAGAGGCTGCGCACACGCATAGATTTACTGCGCACAGACGTATTTCGATGTAATGTAACAATGTTCTCGGTTGGCAGGTTGAGAAAGTTTGTTGTTGGCCCACCCATTACCCGGTTAGAACGCCAAAATTTTTTCATTAATTTTGCACAAATATTAGTCATTTCCAAAAAAGTGCGCACACACCAAAATTTCTGCGCACACATACTACAAAAAATTAGAGGGAACATTGATTATGATATACCGTATCATGATGATATACTTATATATACCCCGCCAGGAACAGCGCTGATTTTTACGCATACTCGTAGTCAAAATTCTGAAACTGTGCCAAGTTGCCTCGGCATCATTGACAAATTTTGAGCTTAAACACAAAATAATTATACTAGACGTTACTGTGCTATAACTTTTTACTGGGTATAAATCACTGCATTTGCGTCGCGGATGTCTTTTAAGGAGCAGCAACTTATCCAATCATATATATAGATATTATTTGAGTTGATATTTTATTCATAAACCAAACCCTGATTTTAAACATTTTTTAAATGAATTTACATTTTCTTAGCTCTATAAATTAAGGGAGTTGGACTAAAATACAGCGATGATGTTTTGTGACTTTTGTGTATGTATTTTTATTCAAAATTATAGATGATTCTACACAGACTATGTTTAATTGCCTTTTGAATCCCTTACAATAAGCAGTTTAGGTCATTCCAATTAAGAATATATCAATAACTGTTAATGAAGAAAAAACCTTCAAAAAATGCGAGCCCGACAGGAATGACCAGAAAAAAACAGCATCGCACGGTCTTGTACATTCTATATACATCAGACATATCTGTACAAGTCATAAATACTAACCCACTGTAAGACGAATTTTATATGCATAGCCTGCAAAAAGAGAGCAAGAATTTGATGTATATTATGAGAAGAAATGAAAATATACAAATGTTAAAGCAGCATAAAACATAGTTGCGAAAAAACTCATGATTCTGCGGTGGTTTTGTGCAAGTAATCCATGATTTGACGTGGTGACGACAAATGTGCTGACTGACCTTGAATGATGGAATAAAATTCTTATGTAGGCAAGAGGAGTTGATAACGACAGTCGGTCGAAGTCAATTTCAGAAACACAATAAAAAACCGAGAGAAAATAAGAGCCGAGGTAAGCCGTATCAGCGAATCCATTTTTGTAGAATCCAAACCATGTGCAGCAAGAGAAATGCTTGAAATAGATTTGTTACGATTAACACAAAATCCGAAAAAGTTAAATGCAGGAGAATGCTTTGTCATCCAGTATGTCATCGGCAGGAAATACCTCAAATATACCGGTATCATCTTCCGGTTCCAATCCGATTCAAGTGCGGATGATAAAAGGAGTATAGCCTATCTATACATCAGACTATTGAATTGCATTAAATTGTGCTATTCATATCACAACTGTCCCACTGCAACTGAGTTGGGATCCCGTATGAACGATCTGCGACATGCTCAGATTTTTGGTTCGCATGCGGGTAATCCGCCGGTGACTTAAAAAATCCCCCGAACTCAAAATGGTTCTTAAATTACGAAGATCCAAGCATTTACCAGTGTAACCGTCCGAACCACAACAGATTTTACCGACAAATTGGCAAAAAAGGGCCGATAGAGTAAAACCCATATACATGCAAAGAGTCGATTGCTGCGAAAACACCCAAATTGTAATTCTGATATAAAAGTCTGATTACACAAAACAATTTATTGCTGTAATTGTTGTAAATGTTCGTTCAGCTATCAAAATCAATAGTTTTAATATCCATTCAGTGCTACACAAGATAAAAATAAAAAATAAGGGCCGGAATGCTTGAATGGTACATCCGGGTCACAGGTAATATAATACCGGTTCATATAAAGAAAATAATTTAAAAATACAGACAAAGTAATACACATGCTGATGAACCCGTAAAGCAGGTGTTTTAAGAAGCAAGTCAATCCTAAAATACCCCGATGTTTTTAAAAATTGTTTGTGGCCCTGATCGATGAAATTAAAAATATAAAGTTAATGAATTGGTTCAAAAATCTGTTTTGGGCCTATTGGTAATCCAATCTGCTATCTTTGGTTGGTTACAGACGCTCTGTCGAAGTTTCTTCAATTTTGGCGTCTTGTCCAGAACATTGGAATCCTTAACTTGTATCAGAATGTCAGTCAGAACAGAGAAAACAATGTCCGCCCAAGACAACTGAGAAAATAGAGTTAGTATATATTCTAATGATCGTTATGACTTATACTTATATCTGGAATGGTACCTATCATTATGACATGCTCACCTGTGAAGTATCCCCAATTAAGCCTAATAATGTTTTGTATAAAAAAAATCTAATACTTTTGGATTCCCTCACATCAGATTTTGTCAAGTTTGCTTTATTTGAATCGTTCCAAACTCCATTTATTATAAACCATTAATTCAATCATTAATTGTAAGTACCTCCTTTCCAAGGAAATAACCTCCATCGCGAACGAATGGTTCCAATTTTTCTAAAGCTTGTGGCAGGAATTCGTCGAATTCTTTACACTTTTTCTATAAATAAATACAATTTATTACAACCAAATCGAGAGTTTAATATTCATACAACAAAGATAAAAAAAATAATTAAATCACAAACTGGAAATATATTAAATCCACAGAGGTAGTCGCTATTATATTTTTGAATTATTCATAGCAACAATTGAGTTTACTGATAACAATGATTTCTTTTTGAAAAATTTCATTTGTTTTTCTGCATATGATTGCTGATGAACGATAAACAGAAAAAAACCTCTAGATATTCATATAGATTTATCAAAAATATCACAAATTACACAGACGTCGGTCTTTCTTACTTTGTCATTGAAATGTACCCACCTCGTAATCGGGATCCTTTTTATTGAAAACAATTTTCTGGAAGATGTCATTGAAATACTCATTCAAAAAATCAGCTCTTGCAATGTCAAATTCATTCTTGCCAGCAAGTCCAAATTGTTTTGCTAAAAATCTTTCGATTGCCCGACTTTGAGGTATCAAATGACTTTTCCCACTGCTGTCGGTTACCTCTAAGGCGGGCATTTGCCCGAAAGGCATATCTATAAAAGTAAATTAATCATAGATTTATAAACTATCACGTTATTTATTTATATAACGAGTATATTGCCTCCCAAATACGAAGACTTCATATTATAATAATAATTTAACAATCTCATGAATTTTATATGCGCAAGGCGGTTTTATATTTGCTTTATTAAATTGCTGTTATAAATTTCGAAATGGACGGCCAAATTCAAATCTATATAGCATATGATAGTATCGAGTTTTTTTTCAAATCGACGTGACCAGGAATTTACAAGGTCTTCACAAAATCTGCGAAGCCATTGCCCAAGCTAACCCCCAATTTAGTGCAAGATTGGTGGCGACAAAAACACTCGCTCACAAGAAACCTAACGAAATAATTTTTAATATTCCCAAAACCATACCTGGTTTCTTAGCTATCCATTTCTCCCCTGCTAGCCGGACGTCTTCATATTCAACCCCAGCTTGAGCAAACATCCATCTGGCGGGCTCGGCTCTGCCCCGAGCGTTGAAATAGTACAATTTATACTTGTATGATGCCATTTTGTTATCTTCGCCTTATCTAATCTAAAGTTCAGTGCAATGTCAAACTATAAAAGCAAGATTTATATGCGATTAGTGCCCTAGTTTAACATTCTCTATGCTAACATATTTCAAATAATACGCACGGTTTAGTTTTAGTTTACAATGATACGAAGGGCCGTTGTACGAAATAATTCTTCTATGGACAATCACAACACCAACCGCGTTACAACCCAGGCAAATCGAGAATAAAATGAGTGATTGCGTGAACTGTTCTCCGAAAATGTGCATTTATTTGCTGACATTCAACGACGAAATACATTTAAACACTAATCGCTCAATAACATACGAAATCACTAACAAATGCACGGCGGCGTCGGACTTCGACGACTGAAAAGCAAAAGATTTTCCAACAACATAGGCGTTATGCAGACCGCGAACCCAATTTAAAAAAAATGCTTAGTCACGTACGAAACGCGTTGACGCGTCATATTACACCGTATTCAATTATAGTGTATTTCAATACTGTAAATTCAATAGACCGTGTATCGGTGACTTCAATATTCTATGCGTATGGAAGAACTAAACGTTTTCATGTAGGTCGTTTGTAACAACAAAAATAATGATAGCAAATATTCAACCAATGCCTTTACATGGTTATCCGCTTGCGATATTACATGGCGTGAAATCTCGATTCAAACTGTAACAAAGTGTAGTGTCCAAGTGGTTTGCTAAACATTATTATTTCGATAAAATTTTGATCGAGCCGAAAGGACACGCTTTTCGTGAATTGCCCAAGGACGCCGGTATGTTCGCGTATATATATATATATATATATGTATGCAAATCGCGCGTTGTTATTATGTCAACTACAGTACGCTTAGCAGTTGCAAATTCATGACGAAAATTATCTTTTTACCAAATTGTCGTTTTATACACACGCCTACTAACCGTGACACAGACTCAAACGATACAGTGATGCTTTGTACAATTGCATTTCGCGCAAATCGTAAAATTGGGTCATAATTCGTCGCATCTTTTTTAGGTTTTGTTTACGCTATCGCTAAAAGTCAATATATTTCCATACAGAATGTACACACCAAAGCTACCGCTAGCTAAATCAGTAGAACTCCACTCCACAATTGAAACTTCAAAAAAAAACTAACATTGCAGATACGCGTAGTAGCGCGGCTGACGGCAAAAATCAAAAATATTTTGCACAGGTGATTCCGTATTGCTCGGGTCACACTGACAGCCAGAGGCGACGAAGCTCAATAGAGCATACAAGACGAAGCAGCTTTTATATACTTTGATACAAAATGCTAAGTCATGCAACGCTACAGGAAACGTCTAGGTTTCCCATTAGATATGCTAGGTTTAGCTTTAAGAACAAACCTTAAAAATGCTTTGTCATCGTTGTGTAGCGATAGAATGTACCAGACGCTATCAAAATGAAAGCTACTTAACAACGTATAACGAACAAGTGATTTATACCAAAACAGTACCGATTAAATGATCAACCAATTAAAAAAGCACCGTCCTATGTATGAAATAATACAAATATTCATAAACATTATGTTTCCCCGATCGCTGACTTCCAGAAAAATTTTGCTATAAATCATATAAATATATTTTTTATTGCAACCGCAGTAAAACACCTCTGAGGGCAAATGAGGGGTGTGTTACCTAAATTTTAAATGTATTTTACTTTTTATTTGGTCCCTCTATTTTCACAACACGTAAAATAAAAGTACATTATGTAAAGTATACATACACTTTGCAAAGTTACAAATAGCACTCAAAATTACGAAGGTAAACGTTTATGGCCATGCTTAAAAGCATGTCCGAGTGAAAAGACTACATTAGCGTCTACTCAAATTGCAATTGTATGTCCCTGTTGACCTCTTGCTGATTAGGCATCACGGAAATAAACAAGGAAGCCGAAGCTCGGGTAACGACCGTCTGCGTACTGATAGGGCAGTTATGATATTAAAACATTTAAGTACAGGTTCTTTTCTGTATCCAACTTTCTAATAACAGATTCCATCATTTTAGAAAACCATGCCGAACTTAAATAAAAAAAACAAGAACGGGTTCGATGATTTTCATGACAAGTAAGGGTTTCCACCACTGCCTTTTAGATCATTTCTTACATTCATCCCTTCAATATTCTCCCGCTTGTTTGGTTTCAAGGTCTCGTTCAATTCATTATTTACAATGTCGAGGCGATTAGGTACCGATTTCGCCACTCAAGCGGGTACCTGATTGATGCATATTAGATCTTGCTTACTATAGACACATTGCTACCCTACCATGCTAAAAGACTAGTGGATTCCAACCTTTCTATACTGGCAGCATCAAATAAAATATAGCAACTCATGGACCGGCATCGAAATTTGAAAATGAATGATTGTGCTGTATTGTGTCGATACATATGTCCGAGCAATGACATTAAACAACATGATAGGCAACTCTGACGTCACTCCATAAGACTACAGGCGAAAGATTGTATTTCATGATACGCTCCAATGCACATATTTCTCGTCGCCTTTCGCGTCCGTTTTCCGCTCGCTTTTGCTACTCGGCGTCTTTTTTACGTGTAGTACCTGTCTTTTTGCCCCTGTAACGAAACAAAATAATCTCTATATCTGAGAAGTTTTGCTCACTTGGAAAGCTGGAATGGCAGGCAAGCTGTAAAGAGCAATTCTGGACATCATAGACGTTTTTTTTTTATCAGAGAAGATTACAAACGCGATAGCGGAAAGATTTGTATGGAACATTTTGCAGATAATGACAAAGTTCAAAGTTAGAATTTTAATGTTTGCGCTTAATCATTGAAATTTTATTTAAAGAGGGTGTCATACAAAACTGTGCTGTGATACAATTCCATAACACAAAGTTTGCACCTATCGAACTTGTATTTGTAGGTGAATTTATTAGACATATTACATATTCAGTTAATCGTAGGTAACATTGCTGGTACATAATGCATCGTAGATAGGATTGTTTAAATTTAGGAATTTAGCTCATGGCCCACTGATTAATATTATCTTCTATGCGGTAGGTTGCATGGCTGAATTCAACTTGCAGCCTTACCGACCACCTGACGATGCTCATTTAGTTTGGCTCGAGCAAGTCTTCTTGAAATGCTTGTGTGAAAGGAAACTACCCATATTTTTTGCCTTCCTCCGATTTTAGACAAATTTATTGTGAGGGATTTCGCATATAATTCTCATTGATTGTTGGCTGTTTATAATTCCTATTGATTGTGAATTCTGATTACAACAAAGAGTTAAAAATTTTTTTATCTAATTTACTGGCACCTTTTTCTTGTCAATACTCCAAGCTGAGGTAATAAACAAGACAATACATTTATGTCATCTGGAAGCAAAATATGCACACTAATTAATAGTTTGGCACATTGAGATAATACATCATGACAGAAAATACACGTTAAAGATATGTATGACCATCACATGGTAATTAAAATTAAAAAAAATTAATAGGGGCTGTGGAGTATGAAAAGTTCAAGACAAAGAAAAGAACAAATGTTCATAGTTCATGAACTCTCAATTTTGCCTCCATTGCTTTGTGAAGGCCAATATATTTCGAGTGGATGAATTGGTTTACCTTTATGATAGCAACGATTTTGTATTTAATATAGCGAGATTATTTCAATTTAATTGAAGTGATATTATTTCCCAAAGCAATGCTTGAATCGTCTAGAATAGATCAGTGGTGTCAAACTTATGGGTTTTCGAGAGCCGCATTGCATTTTGGAAATTGTAAAAAGAGCCGCAATCAGTTTTTGATAATGTATACTTAAAAGATATTTTTAAGATAGTTTTAGTTTGTAACATATATTGTCATGCAACTAAACAGTTGGATTAAGTTTTATTATTTTCTTCAATTTCAAATGCAATTACATATTAATATTTGCATTCCACTATTATTGCAACATTTGCAAGTTACTGTATTTATTATAAAAAATCATAAAATTCTATGTACAACCATCAAAATCATTTTTGAACAAGCTTTGAATAAGGAAAGAATAATACATACACTAAAAATAACTTAATCTAAATATATGAACCTAAAATTAACAAAAATACTACAGTATAAACTCAATGTTTTAATAATTACATTTGTCCTTACGTTTGGCATCTTTTTTGTGTCACCAGCATACTAAGGCCAGGCTGAAATGATTTTATAGTACCAACTCTAACTAACGAGGCCACATCATCATGGGTTAATCTGGATCTTTGCGAATGTTTAATTAATTCCAGTAATGCACAAAAGTTACTTTTATCATTTCATGTATAGATCAGTAAAAAAACAAATGACAGATTTTTTCGACAAGACATTTCGCACCACATTGCGTGGCATAGGATTGCTTGAATTATTATTGATTTTTAGTAACTAAGTCGTTGCATAATTATATTAATATACAAACACATGGAAATTTTCTGTTCGAAGTTGGTCTTCGAAAAATCTATTACATTTAGATAAAAAAAAAACTTCCAAAATACTATTACAATTATTGTTAAGCGTTCGAGGGCCGCACTGGAAGTTCTCTGGGGCCGCGAGTTTGAGATCCCTGGTCTAGATTGAAGTTGTCCAAAAAATATATTATAGTATTTTATCATGAATGATGATTATACCCCTTCCGGAATTTCTTCTATAGTACTACCAAAAGTTGATGAACCAAATATAACACAGGTGCAGTGAGTTACCCGTAATCCTAATTTTCCAAAGCTGTTTTAAGTATGTCTGGCGTGTTTTATGCCTTTTTACAAATAAGACCGAGTATGTAATTTTACGCTTTGGAATTTTTAGTTATTTTCCTCAAGCCCTGCAGGATGTAGGGGTCATACACAACTCTACCGGAGGGTCAAATGTCTTAGCATGTCACTGATATGTCGCCAGACTTCTGATATCTCCCCTTCTGCTATAGTTGTCCTGTGAATAAATAATAGGAAATTGAGATTAGACGAATAGTTGAAAGTTTTGCTTTATGTCGGCTTAATTTCTTGATTGATATACTTACTATTTCTGCTATTGCCTCTTGTGCTGCAGGAGTCTCACAA